AAGCAGACTGTACTCATTTAAGTGTTTGGAGGTCCCAGTAATAAACAGCCAACATTCATGTAGTGTTTACTAGGGAACGGGCACTGTATGAGCACTTACATGTATGTATTTGTGGCTCGCTCTTCTCTGCCTGGGGACCCAGAGACAGGGCAGCTGTGGGTCCTGGGGTGTGGACACACAGGGTACCTGCCCACTGGGCATGGCTGTGCCCCCGAGGCTGGGCAAAGATCCCGGGGAAGGGGGCGGGGGGTAAGGACGCCTGGAAGTAGGGAAGCTGTGGGCTGTGCATGAGCAGGAACCAAGAATCCAAAGCTTGGAGCCGGGGCGGGAGCTGGCAACCCCACCAATGGAAACTCCTGTTTCTGCTGCCCACCTGCCCCCTCCCTGGCACCCTGCCAAAGGCCTGGTCCGCACAGCTGCCCTAACCCCCACCCACGCCTGACCGGGTCAGATGCCTCTCCCAGCCCTGGTCGCTCTGTGGCTCAAGCCATTGCCATTTGGGGCTCTAAGGAAAAATAGGATTCCCATCTCTGACCCCTCCAGTCTGTGTCGCACGCATACATGTTTGCAAAGCAGCCCCACTGTGTCTGGGCTGAGAGTAGAGAAAATGATTCTGGGCTGAATGCCAGGCTTCTCCAGTCCCTTGGCCAGTGTTTCCTGAGCACCTACTGTGTGCTGGGCACTGCTGGGTGCTAGGCATCTCTGGGGCATGAGATAGTAAGCTCATCCTCCTGGCACCTGTGGCCCAAGGCTTGCCTTCCCCCCTGGCCTCCTTCCAATAGCCACTGCCGTGGGCCGCTTGGATTCCGTAGCTCCGTGCAGGGAAGGAGCCCAGGCAGCCTTCACTGTGGACCTGAATCCCAGCTCGGGCACTTGCCGGCTGTGCTGAGTTGAGCAAGTTCTTTATCCTCCCTGGGTCCTGGGTCTCAGTTCATTCACTCAGCCTGCACGTGTTTCCTGAGCACCCACTATGTGCAGCCTACACTGTAGTGGGGGGGCGGGCGGGGAGACAGACCCTAGACGACACCCTTCATGAGCATCATGTTGTGAACTGTGTTAGCAGATGATTCATCCCGTGGGATAAAAGGGGCTGTACAGCAAGATAAGGGGCGTTGGGAGTGGAGGCAGAGGACTGCAGTGGGCAGGATGGATGGGGTCTGCCTCCTTGAGAAGGGGAGAGTTGAGCCAGTGCGTGAGGATGGTGAGGGAGAGAGCCACGGGGCCAGGGGGTGGGGCGGTGGGCAAATGAGCGCTGCAGGGAGAAGGCATAGCCAAAGGCGAAGGTCCCGATGTGGGAGCAAGCCTGGCATGGGGGGAGGCCCAGACAGGCCCAGGGTGGCTGAGGCACTCATTCTAGCAGTAGGGGGGACGGGGGGGGGGTGAACACCAATAAAATAGCACATTAGGTGGTCGGAAGCGCCAAGGAGAAAACTGGCTTCGGCGGTGAGAAAACAATAATCGTGCCCCCCCCACCACCACCTCGCCAGCCCGGGGTCGGGCCCAGTGGACAGAAGCCACTGCCTGGTTGTCCTGTGATCATCCTTGTGTGGTTTTTCTCCAAGACCGGGCCCATGTCCTACCCCTTGAGCCCAACCTGCCTGGGTCTCCACAGGGGGTTGGTACCTGTTGGGGACAGGCTCCGGCTGGTGCAGGATTTCTGGTCGATCAGAACGGGGGAGCTGGGAGGGCCTCTAGGCCTCTCACCAGAGGTTCCGGATGTTGGGCCTTGCCCAAACCCTTGTGCCTCCCACGTGAAGGTTTTCCGGTTCCCGAGGTGGTAAAGCTGAGGGAACATGGGGGCGATGCGGTGATCCGAACATAGGCTAAATGGAGTCCACTTAAAAATTATGAATTCCGGGGCGCCTGGGTGTCTCAGTGGGTTAAAGCCTCTGTCTTCGGTTCAGGTCATGATCTCGGGGTCCTGGGATTGAGCCCCGCATTGGGCTCTCTGCTGAGCAGGGAGCCTGCTTCCCCTCTCTCTCTGCCTGCCTCTCTGCCTACTTGTGATCTCCGTCAAATAGATAAATAAAATCTTTTTTAAAAAATTATGAATTTTGGGACGCCTGGGTGGCTCAGTTGGTTAAGCAGCTGCCTTCGGCTCAGGTCATGATCCCAGCGTCCTGGGATCGAGTCCCGCATTGGGCTCCTTGCTCGTCAGGGAGCCTGCTTCTCCCTCTGCCTCTGCCTGCCACTCTGTCTGCCTGTGCTTGCTCTCTCTCCCTCTCTCTCTCTGACAAGTAAATAAATAAAATCTTTAAAAAAAAAAAATTATGAATTTCCTGGGCGCCGAGGTGGCTCAGTTGGTTGGGTGACTATGTTCAGCTCAGGTCATGATCCCGGAGTCCCAAGATCGAGTCCCGCTTCAGCTCCCGGCTCCATGGGGAGTCTGCTTCTCCCTCTGACCTCTCCTCTCATGCTCTCTCACTAAAAATGAAATCTTTTAAGAAATTATGAACTTCCCACTTTCACGAAATATCTTTAATGAAAGAGAGAGAAAGGGGAGGAGCCGAGGGAAAGGGACAAGCCAACTCCGTGCTGAGTGCAAAGCCCGCCATGGGGCTCGATCTCAGGGCCCCTTGATCATGACCTTGAGCTGAAACCAAGAGTTGGACGCTCAACAGACTGTGTCACTCCGGCGCCCCCGGAATGTCCTTCTTTGAACTCGTGGCAACAGTCAGTGGTGATTGTGTATAGTCTCCACTTGGCAAAATAAAACCTTGGCAGCCCTATCTTAGCACCTCCCTCTATTTTTACTTTTTTGGGAAGTGTTTCCTTCTGCATTATCTCAAAGTCTGGGAACCACTGACTGAGGAACCTAGTTGTCCCTCTGCTGTGCAGACCATGGGACCTGTGACCCCAGGAGGCGTCTGGTTTGCTTGGGGCCACAGACAAGAGTTAATTGTCCTACTTCGGGTCAGAGAATGGGGTGGGGGGTGGAAAAGAGCGACGAGACGGAGCCAAGAAGAAAAGTCCTGGACAGAGCCAGCCGGGAGGAGGGTAGCCCAGCTCTGGCTAAGTGGGGGCAGGACCCTGCATGGCATTTGGTAACGAGGTCCGATGTGTGGCCGATCCACATGGTGGGCCCTGGGGTGGCCCCGTGGTTGCTGCTGGAGGCCTGGATCCTGGAGTCCAACAGGCTCGGGTTCCAAACCGAGCCTGCACCCTTCTAGCTCTAGGACTTCAGGCAGGTCATCTAACCTCTCTGGCAGGGCCGTTCCTACCCTAATGAGACGGCACAGTGCCCTCCCAAAGCAGAAATCCTGCACTGACCAGAGCCTGTCCACAGTAGGTACCAATCCCCTCTAGGGATCCAGGCAAATTGGCTTCAGGGGGTAGGACAGAGCCCCCAGAACCAAGGAGGGGAGCCAGACTGGCAGGTGGATATCTCCTTCTCTAGCGAAGGGCGTGAGTTAATGTGGAGGTCGTGAGCCTTGGAAGGGATCACATTCTCCTCGCTCTTAGCCGTGCCGCTGCTTCCTGAGCTCGGACGAACACGCCTGGCACGGAGCTTTCACAGTGGGTTCTCCCCGTCAAGGGGCAGGTGCCCGAAGAGATGGATACCCTTGTGCCCATTTCACAGCTGGTGAGGAGGGGACTGAGACCCAAACCCAGAGTACTTTATCTTCAGTTATTCTCCTGTTCATTCTCCTACATTAAAGGCGGGTTTACGCGGCAGGCTGGACAGTCTTATGTCCTGGGAGATGCAGAAGTACAGACTCAGGGGTCGGTTGGTGGGACATGCCCACAGGAATTTAGAAACAGATGGAGTGGCAGGTCCAGATGACGTTTCACGTCATTCTAAACACGGGCTTCTTGTCATTTTACAGTACAGACCTTACTTCCCTGGTCTCACCTGCTCCCTTGATGCCTCAACCAGAACCGTGTACCCTGTGGTCCCTCAGAAATGGGCGGAGGGGGCAACGCCTGTGTCCGGTCTGCTCAGTAATGAGGAAAGCGAGGTCCAGGGAGGAGAGGGGATCTGTGGAGTCTGGCGCTAGGATGGGAACATGCCCTCTGCTTTCCCATCTGAATACAGGCTCTAGGGCGGCTTGAAGAGCGGCAACAAGGCACTGGACGCTATGCCCAGCATAGCAAGTGCTTACTAATTAGCAGCATTTTGTTCTGAAGCCCGATGAACGGCTGCCTCCTGCCCATCTTTAAGTGTCGGGGTCAGGGATGCGAGCTCTCCGGGAGTCGGAGCCGAGGTGAAGCTCTGCCTGGGTGGGCCTCCCTTCCGTCATCTGTAAAATGGGAGTAATAATAGTAGCTACCCTGTGGGCCCACTGGGAGAGCCCAAGAGATCATGCGGGTCAGTGTTTCATTCTGGAGGCTGTTGTTCGTGTCCCGCGCCCCTCCCCCGCCTGCACATCTGCTTCTGAAAGGCATCATTTGAGCGGAAGGTGGCCCTGTTTTACAGCTGAGGACACAGATGAGAGAGTAACCAACCTCCCAAGCAATATACAATCATTTTCTGGCTAGAGCAGAGGCTAACAATGCACTAGCTGCTGTTTCCTGAGCACTTGCTGTGTGCCAAGAGTCATACGGACACTCGCCTTGGATTCTCTTACAAACCTGAGGAGTGGCTGTGACGACTGTACCCATTTGTCAGATAAAACCATAGAGGAATAGGGAAGAATTAATAAGCTTGGGTCACGCACTTAGGAAGTGAGTGCTGGAAACCAGGCAGCTTGTGTGTGGGGCTCATGGCCTCATGGATCTTGGAGCTGGGGTGCCCTGGGGGAGGAGGGCCAGTCCCTGCGCTGGGAATTCAGAGGCTGGCTGGAGGTGTTTAGGGCAGACCCTTCCTGCCCAAGGGGCAGGTTCCTGCAGATCTGCCTCTGGGGGTTGATAGGAAGCCAGGACAAACACTAGAGCCTCCTGTGCTTCTCCGGCCAAGCCCAGCCACCTGGCGTGGGAGCAGACACCAGGACCGTGGGCCTACATGGCAGCGGGTTGTGCCTGCTGACCTGGGACTCAGCACTGTCCTTTCACTTTCAAAGGAGTTTCTCTGTGACCAGAAGTACAGTGATGAAGAGAACTTGCCAGAAAAGCTTGCGGCCTTCAAAGGTGAGCCGGGGCTGTCTGCCCTCCCCTTCCCCGGGAGAGCTGGGCTGGCCCCCTGGCACATAGGATTCCTTACCCCACAAGGCCAGCCTGTGCCCCCGTTTCTTCCAGAACGCCCTCCTCCTGGTGGGCTGTGAGATGGGGTCCCCAGCCACGGGCACAGGCACTGGCCCCTCTACCTGCCTCCATGCCACCCCAGGCCCCTCACCCTTGCCCGAAGCCCCGCCACCCCACCCCACCACGGCTGCCTGACAGGCGGGGCTCAGGCTGGCTCCTGTCCGCTGCTGCCCAGGCCCCGCTTGCTCCCGGGGCCCCAGCACACAATCAGCCCTTTGTAGCAGCCCTGGCCTCTCCCCTCCGCGGGGGAGCGGCTCGGGAGCCCCTGTGCAGAATGGACGTTTGTGTCACCACAGTGGGGCAGGGGGCAGAGTTTCTGCCCATTGAATCCCAGCAGCACGGGATGAAAAGAAAACAGGGCCCGGGAGCCCGCGCAGGGAGGGGGCGGCATAAAGGTCCCTCTGTTCCGGGCCCTGGTGCTTGGTTCCCAGCCAGCAGCTCGAAAGGAGAGGAGCCGTGCACATAAGGAGCCCAGCAGACCCACCTTTCCTGCCTGGGAGATGCTCTCTGCGCGCAGGGAGCCCTGGCCGCTGGAGGACCTCGCCAGATCGCCTCGAGGCCGCACCTCCCTCCCCCTCCCCCCCAGGCTTGGCACTGTGGACGTCCTCCCTGCTCCAAGGCGAAGAGCCTGCCAAGTACTCCTCAAACCACTCCTGGCTTCGTTGTCCTCAGGCAGGACCCTGATGGCAAAGCATTTGTTGAGTGTTGACCTTGTGGGAAGCACTTTGAATGCTGTGTCGTGAGCTCCCCAACTCCTCCCAAGTCAGCCAGGAGGGAGACAAGTGCGACTTTGATTTATAGATGAAACAACTCAGGCTCGGAGAGGTGGGGGTCCCTTATGTGGGGTCACACGACCTGCCTATGGCAGAGTTAAAGGCTTGATCACGTGTTGGTCTCTCTCCAAAGTCCCCTGCTCTGAACCATTATGCAATGGGGCTGTTTCCATTGAACAGAAAGAAGTCGTGGGATAAACCACCCCCCCACCCCATCCCTGCCCCGTTCCACTGACCCCTGCCGCCTCCCCTAGGAGAGCCATGCAAAGGTGAGGGAGGACAAGGCTCTTTGCCTTTGACCAGAGAGCCTTAACTCAAGGTCTGTAGGTGATGGGGAGGGTCTGTGTACCCCTGGGCATTGTATGTGCCACTTTGGGTCAAGGGCGGGTTCATGGCATTTCTCTCGGGAGAGGACCAGATTTTCAGTGGTGCCCACAGACACCCCTGCCCCCAAAAAGTTCAGAACCACAGGGATTCCTTAAACTGTTGATTCCCACACCTGGATCAGAATCACTAGAACCGACCGGTTCCTCACCTCACCCCACCCTTCCTAAAGCCACTGCACCCATAGATCAGGGCCTGGCAATCGGTTCCAGTCACTTTGGAGTCACTGTGACACAGCCAGCTCATGCTGGCGGGAACCTGGGAGGAAGCAGCTGGGAGGAAGCCCCACTTCAACAGAAGGTTACAGTGGCCCCCTAGACCCTTATGCCATGACGCCTGTGGGAGAGGGGTGCAGGCAGGGCGAGCTCTTTCTCCAGAGACAGTGGTGGAGATGATGGGACTTGTGTCTAGACCCCGAAGTGCGGGTGTGAGGAGGAGGATGTGGGCTCCCTGGGGACACGGCCTGTTGCCTTCGAGGACATCTCTGGGACCCTGATTCGGAGCTAATTAATCCCAGTTTTTGCTCTGTGATTTCCAGAGAAGTACATGGAGTTTGACCTGAACAATGAGGGCGAGATTGGTAAGTGAGGCCTCGACTGTGCAAGGGGAGGAGGGTGTCCCTACTGGGGGGAGGATCTGAGGGTCTGGAGAGACCCACTGGGCCGTCTGTGTGGGGGAGGGGCACACACCAAAGCTCCCGCGATGGGCTAGGCCAGCCTGCCAGCCTTAAGCTTAGACCCACTGCCCCCAGACTCTTCTCCTCGCTGCTTCCCTCCCACACACCTCCCCGCACACGTCTCAGCCTTCCACGCCAGGTGCCACCCCTGCCCGGGGTTGGAGATGCTCAGGCTCTTGACGTCCGGGTCCCGGGGGACTCGCGGTTCCTTTGTCCTTGCCTTTGTACGCTGGCCGGCATTGGACATGGTGCTTCTGTGTACGTACCTTCCCTCCTCCAGCAGATCCTGACTGTATCATGTGGTCCTGGTTTGGGGGTGACAAATGCCTGTCCCATGGCCCTTGGGTCCAAGACCATCCCTTGACCTTCACGAGTAACGCTATGACATGGTCAAGGCTGGCTTAATTATCCCCATTTTACAGACGAGGAAGCCAGGCTCAGCAGTGTGAACCGACTGGGTTGGGGCACATGGCGGTCAAGTGGTCGGCCCAGGGTCCAGATCCCAGCCTTTGGTTCCCAAACTGGCTCTCCCTTCTCCGTTTGGCCCTGAGCTCAGTGTTGCTGCCTCTGCGATGTTTCTACTCCTCCGTCTTGTCTCCTTCTTCTCCTTGTTAAATATTTTTATCCTTATTTTCCTTCAGGAAAAAAAAAATTGGGGTTATCAAACTAATACATCTTCATCATAAAAACTTTTGGAAAACGCAGTAAGGCACAAAGACGAAAATAAGTCAGCCACAGTCTTCCCTCCCAGAAATAACCGCTGTGAATATTTTGGTTTACATACTCCCACCCTTTATTCTAATCACAAATGCTGTTTTATAACCGTGTTAGAACCTCGTTTTAAAAAACAATATATTGTGAGTGTTTTGACATATGATTAATTTTTCTTTTGAAATATAATTAATGGCTGCGTAATATTCCACCGCGGGCCGGACCGTAACTTACTTAGCCAGTGTTTTAATATTGCGCATTTAGAAAGCTCCAATTTTAACTACTTTGATAGTCCTGTGAAGAGCGTCTTTGTACGTGAATCTTTGTGCAGATCTCCGATTATTTCTTTAGAGTAAATCTTGGGAATTGGATCTTCTGGGTCAAAGACTTTTTTGAGGCATCTTGCCAAACTGCCTTCCAGAAAGGTCTTGCCAATTTCAATCCTGGCCAGCAGCATGGGGGGGACCTCTAACTTTTCCCTGCAGAGGGCTGCCTAGTTTTCTTTGACATGCCCTGGACGTTCTGGCACCTGGGGGTCTGGCATCCGTCCTGCCCACCCTGCTCTCGGGTGAGCTGTCGTGCCACACCCCTGGCCCCAAAAATCGGCCCTCTGTCCCGCCTCTCTCCCACCACCCTCTGCTGACCCATTGTTCACAGAACAATCTGGAGGAAATTGCCTAAGATCTGGGGAGCAGGGAGGTCAGAGGCATCGATTCTACAGAGAGTAGTGACTTTTTGGTGCCTCCCTTGTTTTTCTTGAATTTTGTTCCTTTGTTGGTTTTCCTGCTCTGCAGGATATTTTTGGCTCCTGTGCCCTGTGGGCGAGGCGGGAACCCTGGGACTGCCGGGTGGGAGTGGCAGGTGGAGAGAAGCTGCCGCCCAGCACCCTGCAGGATGGCTTTCCCTGCCTTGGGTCAAGCCTACTCCCTGACCCCACCTTGCTGGGCAGTGGCTCCCTGGGGAGCTGGAGCAGCGGGCACACAGCTCCCCCTGACCTTGGGGCGCAGCAGACCTAACAGACCCCTAACGGCCCCATTGCTGGACACCTGCTTTGTGCTGGGTACTTCTTGTGCATCGCGCCCTCTCAAATGATCCCGTCAACCCATTTGATGGCTTATGGGAGCAGAGTCTCAGAGAGGTTAAGTAGTTTGCTCCAGGTCCCACAGCCAGAAAGAGCAGGACTGGGTTCCAGCCCAGGTCCCTGTCCCTAACCACTACCCTGTACTACCTCTGAAGAGAGCAGGGACGGTGTGATGGGTTCACCCGCCGGGGAGGAGAAGGGCCCTGGACTGCAGTCCCCGGGCAGGGGCTGAGAGCCATGGAGCTCTACCTGCTTCCTCGCCTGGCCCGCAGCCTGTCTCCGCTTAACAGACCTGCTTTTCCTCTCACAGACCTGATGTCTTTAAAGAGGATGATGGAGAAGCTTGGGGTCCCCAAGACCCATCTGGAGATGAAAAAGATGATCTCAGAGGTGACAGGGGGGGTCAGCGACACCATCTCCTACCGAGACTTTGTGAACATGATGCTGGGAAAGCGGTCAGCTGTCCTTAAACTGTGAGTACCCCCTGCCTCTCCCGGGGTCTCCGAAGGCAGAGTCGTTGTGCGTGGGAAGGCCTCAGCCCAGCCAGGAGGGAACGCCTCGTGGGACCTGCTGGACACGAGGGGCTTGATTTCTCTGAACCCGATTTCCTCATCTGTCATGGGCACATTAATACGTACCCAGAACTTTCCGGTAGAATGAGTGCTCAGGAAGCAGAACGATGGCGGGGATGATGAATCTACCGTGTGGGCACCTTGAGGGGGGTGGGGGCTCAGTCGGTTGAGTGTCTGTCTTCGGCTCAGGTCATGGTCCCCGGGTCCTGAGATCAAATCCTGTGTCGGGCTCCCGGTTCCGTTTAGAATCTGTTCTCTCCCTCTGCCCCTCCCCCTGCTTGTGTGCTCTCTCAAATAAATGAATAAAATCTTAAAAAAAAAAATCTACCATGAAACCTTCTGAGCCCGGGTTTCCTCATTTGCAAAGTGATTCCACTACCCACTAGGCTGTGGAGAGCATTATATATTTAACAATTGGCTCTGAAGGGAGGCAGAGTTCAAATATTGATGCGGTTGCTTGCCCCCTAATTGAGTCTGGGCAAATCCCCTTTGGTCCCGGGCCTTAGTTTCTTGGTTTGTAAGCGAGAGATGATGGTGAGTCTCTTGTGCGAAATGTCGTGACGCATATGAAGGTGACGCATATGAAGGCCGCAGCCCAGTACCTGGGTCTTGGCAAACACCTGGTCTGTGGTGGCCAAGGTCACGCTTCCCAGCCCCTGCCCCCGCTGCAGAGAGATACCCTGGAGGGTCTCTGGTTTTGAACGTACGAATGTCAAATATACCTGCCTCATTTGTTACAAAGGGGGGAGTCGAGGCCCAAGGAAGCTGAGGACCTGCTCATGAGCCCCTGGTTCAGCCTGCAGAGCTTCTAGTGTGAGGAAGGGGTTGGGCAAGCGGTATGGAAAACCGTCCAGGTCAGACCACAGCACACCTGGGATGCCGCGTGCCACAGGTGGCAGCAACGGGAGTGTTGATGCTCTCAGAAAACACCCAGGATTTAGTGCATTTACTCTGTGGTCGGCTCTGGTCTACCTAGTGACCCCTCAGATGTGTCATTTATTAATTCAGCAAATATTTATTGAGCACCAACGATGTACCAAGAATTATTCTAGGTGTCAGGGACACAGGAGTTGTTGGTCTCATGGAGCTTATAGTCTCATGGCAAGAGACAGGCAAGAACAAAATAAAAAAACCCAAGAAACTAAAACGCCAGATTGCCATGGTGTAGCACCAAGAAAACCCAAATGGACAGAGGAACAGAGACGGAGGGGATAGTAGGCAGGGAGGATCTCATTGAGAAGGCAACACTTGACCAGAGCCTCGAGGGAAAGAGATGTTAAGAGATGAGCCATCCGAAGGGGAAAGCATTCCGGGCAGCGGACTAAGCAAGTGCAAAGGCCCTGAGGCAGACTGCTTGTGTGCTCAAAGGAACAGCACAGAAGCTAGTGTGTCTGGCCATCAGTGAGTGCATGGAGTGAAGGATGAGTTTGCAGACCAGGTGACATGGGGCCTTGTGGGTCTGGGTCCCACTCAGCATTTGGCACTAATGTGAAGGGATGCCATTGGACGACTGTAAGCTAGGGGCTGACTTTTAAAAGCCTCTGGCTGCAACAGGGGTGAGAGTGGCAGGAGGGAGGCTGTGCAGGCAAGAGATGAGGCCACTTGGCCTGGAGAAGCTGCAGTGAAGGTAGGCAGAAGCTTCTGGAATCAGGAATGGTTTGGGAGACAGAGCTGGAAGGTTTGCTTCAATGCCCAGATATGTAGAGGAGAACAAGGAGTCAGATGATCCCCATCTATTTGGGGTGAGTGATGCTATTTACTTTAGGGGGAAGAGCAGGTGGGGGAGGCAGGAATTGGGAGCTGAGTTTTTGAGGGATTAAGTTGGAAGTGTCCTTTCGACATCCAAGGGGAGAGGTCAAGGAGGGCCTTGGGTGTGCAGATCAGCTTGGAGGTAAGCTGCTTGTGGACTGTCACCCTTTGGATGGGATGTATAGCCAGTGGACAGAGCCCACCCAAAGGGTGACCACAGGAAGAGTGGGGGTACTCAAAACAGCTCTAGGGTTGTTGGCCCTTTGGGCATCCTTACTTCCAAATGGAAACTGAGCGCCAGTGGGGTTGTCCTTGAGTCACCAGCTGGGAAATAGTAGGGCTGGGATTCAAATCAGGCTGTTTCCCTTCAGAGGCTCCATCCGTAACCCCTATCCTCTACTTCCAAGATGCTACCTTGTTTTTTGAGAGAGAGAGAGAATGAGCAAGGGGACGAGGGAGAGGGAGAGAGAGAATCTTAAATAGGTTCCATCCCAGAGTGGAACCTGATCCGGGGCTCGATCTCATGACCCTGAGATCATGACCTGAGCCAAAATCAAGAGTTGGACACTTCACCGACTGAGACACCGAGGCACCCCAGATGTTACTCTTAAAACCTTGGGTGGTTTTTGAAGATCTGAAGGGGTTTTGAGCAGAGCCATGACCCAGCCTAGCTCTGCCTTTAGGCAGCATGGGTAAGGGAAGATGCATGGCCTCGAATACAGAGATCTTTGTACCTCAGTTTTCTGTTCTGTGAAATGGGACTAGCAGCCCCTTCACATAGAGGAGATCCCACTGGAGAATGGATGCAAGGGCATTCGGTTGAGGACCCTGCAGACATGAGGGCTGGGATGATCTCTCCCTGGATGAGGGAAGGAATCCTAATCCTGCCTTTTTTTTCCCCCACTCTGTCTCCAAACCAGAGTCATGATGTTTGAAGGAAAAGCCAACGAGAGCAGCCCCAAGCCGGTTGGCCCCCCTCCAGAGAGAGATATTGCCAGCCTGCCCTGAGGACCACCATCTGCACCAGCTCCTGTTCCTCCCTCCTGCTCTTGCTGCCCTTCTTGATTCATCGTGATTTGTCTTATTTGTTTTGTCTGGTCTTCGTGCGTTTGTTTCGTTTTCTATCAGCAAAATCAGTGATCTCTTTGTAAAGCACAAATTATCTGCCTTAAAGGGACTCTGGGCCAGGGAATTCTGTGCCTTGGGGACCTCCCTCTCGTCTTCCCTCCTTCCCCCTTCCCCGTGCAGAAGGGCTGACATCAGACCAAAACCTGGAGGGGGCGGCCAGGACAGGGAGACTGGAAGATTGTGATCCTCATGCTTGGAGCTGACACGGTCCGTCCTTCTGGGGTCCCTGAGCTAAGTCCAGGCTTGCTGGCCTGGCCCTGATGAGGGCCACAGCCCCCTCTCAGAAGATCCTAGAGTGGGAACCGTACTTTCCTTGGACAGCTCCGTGGTTCCGTGCTCTTGACTCATCTAGAGCGTGACCACCCACTGTCCCACCTCCCCTGCTGACGCCCTCCCCCATGCCACACTTCTCAGCCTCAGGGAGGTGACAGAAGGAGAGAAGAAGAGGGGCTTGGCGATCTGAGCCCTTCAAGAAGGTTCCAGAAGGAATGCTCTGGTCTTGCCCACAGCCAAACCTTTACAGGCAGCTCGGAGGAAAAGTGCAGCCCCCATGTCCTTTGTGGGAGCAGCAAAGGTCTTTAGGGGTGGAAAGAAGGCGAGGGGGCTTGGGAGGGGTGTCTGTTTAGTCTGGTGCCACCTTTTGGGGAGGATGCTGAGGACAACAGAATAGGAGAAGGAGGAATAGAGTGCTCACGGCAAATAGCACCACTAATAAGCCAAGACCTGATAGATGGAAGGTTTCCTTTCTGATCCGGATCTGCTTGAAACCTGACTGTGCTCCCCCATTTGCCTTCCTGCCATACTCCGCTCATTCATTCATTCACTCATCAGTCATCCAACGGATATTTATTGACCACCTATTATAAGCTTTAAGTCCCCCCACTTTGTCCTGACATGTGCCTTGCCCTCTAACCCATCTCTCCATTTCCAATCACCCAAAAGCACAAGCTTGGGGATTGGATTGGGGACCCTTGTGATGGACTCCCAAGGTTTGAGAGCCCTGGTTCACTCCATAGGTTATCTAGACCGATCGTCTCATTTCACAGGTGGGAAAACTGGTGCTCACAGGGATTAAGTGCCTTGCCAAGGGGTTAATCAGGAGACAGAAGTCTGGACTGGAACCCATCTGTTCGGATGCAGTGCCCATCCTCATCTCTGCTCTGGGCTGGGCCGGGGAGGGGCAGTCTCCTAGGTAAATACTTGGGGAAGGCCCTGGGCCAGGACTCAGCCTTGCTAGTGTCTCCATGTCAGCACCACAGTAGGGTAAGGGCCCGGCTATCCTCTGCAGTTCTGCCTTCCCTAGAGCTTCTCTGCCAAGCCACTTCTCAGAACTCACCCCGGAAGGTGTCCTATTCTGCCTCATCTTGGCTGAGCAGGGACACCAGCCTTGACCCCATCTGTGTTCTGGAGTCCCTTACCCTGCCCACTCAGGACTTAGATGCACTCATCCCTTTTATCTATTTATTAAGCACCTGCTCTGGGCCAAGAGCTAAGAACCAGGTAGTGAAATGGACAGACTCGTGGAATTTAGTGGGGGAAGTCAGAATCAGGCAATGACCCGTGAGATGAATGTTACAGAGAGAGGGGACTGCGGGGTGACTGTACTGCAATCCTGGGCCCAAGACTGAGCAAAGGTCTTGGAGAAGCCCTCGCCAAACTTTAAGTGGAAATGTCAGGGTGCTGCTGGAGGTGGGAGTCGGTGTGGCCTCCCTGTGGCTCCTTAGTGACCCATAATCAGGGACCTGAGGAGCTGCCCTTGCCGCAGCTTGAGGGAGTGGAGCAGGCAGGGGCTGGGGAATTGCCCAGGGTGGGTTAATCCATTGGTCAGTCTCAGCCAGTTCAGGAACAGGATTATTTGGCCATAACTGACTGACCTTCAGCTTAAGGAGCTGCTTCAAATGCACAAGCCTAGTTGAAGTTTAAACCCCAACAAAACTGTTCTCCCTGTAAATGAAAAATCTCACCCCAGCACCTCCTCTGTGTTCCCCTCCCACCAGATCATTAGATGAACCACTGCCTGTCCCTACGCCTCCGCATTAGCCTCTCTTCTCTGGGTCAGACTGAGACCTTTGAGCAAGGTGATACTTTCCTTAACGCTCCGCTATAGTCAGTGTACCTGTTCCTCTGGAGAGGAGGGCAGAAGCAACCAGGCTTATTTCAGTGGGTTCCACAGTTTGCAAGACTGCAGGAAGCCTCCTTTAAGGGAGGGGGACACTTTAATGGGTGTGTCTCCGGCTTCTGGAAAGGGCAGGAAAGAGTTCTTTCATTGGAAGGGGTGTCCTGGGAAACACCACCAGTTCCTCCACCATTTACTAGAACTCAATTCCTGAAGTGAGAGGGGCTCAAAAGTGGTCCCTGGAAAGGGGATTTGTAGATTTGTGTATTTCAGATTGTGGCTATTGGCTCTGGGACTTACTTCTATGGCTAAGGGCTCAGCTTCTTCGAACTTCAGCTGTCTTCTTTCTGAAAGACCAAATCTAACCAATGTAACCAGCAACTCAGGGACTGCCAAGTATGGCTTTGTCCCTGTGACAAAAGGAAGGAGTCTGCCGGGCACATTCAGGTGGATGAAGTGTGTGTGTGTGTGTGTGCATGTGTGAGAATGAGTGTGTGTGGCACCAGATATCATCTCTATAGATAGAAATAAAACAGACAAACATCAATGTCTTGACTTGTTGTTTTGGGGACAGTTCCTGGGCTCAGCAAATTCAGAAAAGATAGCTAATATAGTAACAGCTCTAAAGGAAGGTGTCCTATGTGCCAGGCTCTGTTAAACTTCATTTACTCCTCACAACACCCTATGAGGCTGATACTATCATGTTACCTTATTTTCAAAATGAGAAGCAGGGGGGCGCCTGGGTGGCTTCGTTGTTAAGCGGCTGCCTTTGGCTCAGGTTATGATCTCGGGGTCCAAGAAGGGGGCCCACGTCCGTGGGGAGTTTGCTTCTCCACCCCACCCCCATCATGCTCTCGCTCTCAAATAAATAAAATCTTAAAAAAATAAAAACGAGAAGCAGTCTTGGAACAGTTAGGCAATTTGCTGAAAACCAAACAGTAAGAGGCAGAAGGCCCCCCCGCCCTCCAGTTAACCCACAGGCTCCAGATGAATTTCTGTCCTAGAGCATTTATAATCCCAACACAAACACCTGTACGGTGGACTGTCGTCAATCAGCATATCCGGACAAGCTGAATTCTAACCCCGCCTTCACCAACACTTTGCGAATGCGGGGCACTGGGGAATTTTCTTGATTTCTCATCAGTTAAATGGCAACGATAAACCCCTCGGCAAAGAGGATGCGTTGGAGCTTAACGCGTGTGAAGTGTTTTGCACTGTGCCCGGGCTCTTGCTCGGGAAATGATTACCCTGAAAGCAGTAGACAAAGGTGATGTTTGGTACCCGTTGCCCTGCCCTTTGGACCCCTGCGCTTAGAGCGAAGAGGCTCCCGAGGCCCCCATCCACCCACTTTCGGAACCTCTGTTCCTCCTCGCCCCCCCTCCAAAGCCTCTCTCAAGAGCTGCGCCCTGGAGATGTTGGTCAGGTTCCTAACTCCTCTCCTTCCGGGACTGTTAATAACCACGTGCGCTCCACTGTAACTGCGAGGCTTCAGCGCCCCAAGGAGCGCGGAGCAACGGAGCAGGGTGCCTGACCACTAATCACACACAGTGGGCGGGAGCTCGGCACTTCAGGGCGCAGGCGCATCGGCCCGGGGCTACGCCCACCTCCCCCAGGCCCCTGGCCAATGGGAAGCAGTGGCCTGGAGAGCGCGCGACTTCAGTGGGTCGCTCAGCCTCCTCGGTCCGCAAGGCGGCCCGGGGCGCGCGACGTCACCAAAGCGCGCCGGAAATGTGGGGCCTGCTGCGCGCCGCCCTCGGTGAGGAAAGGAAGTTGGCCTCAGAGCAGCCTGGGCCGTGTGGGTAAGGCCGCGCGCGGGCGGCGGCGGCGGCTGCTTCGACCAACTGAGGGTAACGCGATGGGAGACGAGATGGATGCCATGATCCCCGAGCGGGAGATGAAGGTCAGAGACTGGCCGGGGCCTCCCTCCCTTCCTTAGGCCCGGCGTTGCCTTGGAACCCCGCTGAACGGCGCAGCGCGGGGGCCGGCTACCCGCTTCCCGCCTCCTGCTTGAACTGTTTGCCGCGTTCAGAGTTCTCGCCGGCGCGACCTGCTGTACTGTGCCGTGCGGCCGGCGCGATAGCCCCGCCGAATGCAGTTTCTCCGTCCCTTCCTGGTCTTGTGCGCGCCGCTTGAGTTACCCTAGTTACTTTCATGTGGCGGTCGGAGTCGTGGTAATAATGACTGTTTATTGAGCGTTCAGTGTGTGCCAGACATTGTGGTACTCATCACAGCGGCCGTATGAGTAGTTGTTCATAAAGGGGAGCACGGCGAGGCTGGGAAAGTAGCTTACCCAAAGTCACGTTCGATAAAGGGGCTGAAATCTAGGTGGTTTTTTTAAGACCCTGTCTTGGACACTCACTGCACTACCTCTGTAAATCGGTCCAGGCGTGCCTGACGCAGAGCCAGGGTTCATCACCCGTTCTACAAAACCTGTAGTAGAACAGAATAGAAGGACTGCTTTGGTACTGGGAATCAGGGTACAGTCGGGAAACTGAAGAGAAGGGCAGGTGATCCAGGTGACGGTTACGAGTGAGTTTCCGGAAGCTTTTAGGCGATTGAACCCGTCACTGAGGTGCCTTTAAGGAGTAGTAATCCATCCCATATTTAGAGTAGTGATTCTTCTTTGTTGAGAATGACTGGTCGCGAGCGGGGTGGGAGCGGTGAGCCAACCAATGAGAGCGTGTCCGTTTCTCAGCTACGCTGGGGCAGAAGGAGAAAGGTTTCAGAACCACAGACTTGGACGATGACAGTCTTCCTTTGAGTTACTGATTATAACAGAAAGAAATGCTTTCCTGTGCCTGTTCATCCCAGTGTCTCTTCACACTCTTGTGTCCACAACCCAAAGTATTTTTGTACTTCTCGTCCTGATAATCCTAAACACCCTATTTTAGGATTATCAGGACGAGAAGTACAAAAATACTGAAAATTTCATTCTACTCCTGTATGGTCTCATCTGGAAAGCTGTGAGTTTCTGGTCGCATTACTCATTTGGAATT